ATGCCTAGGGAGCTTTTACTTATGGCGGTAGGCAAAGTGGAAGCTTGCACGCCACACGGTCAAAGCAGAAACGAGGGAGAGGGAGGGAGGGGAGACTCTGCACACTTTTAAAGGGTCGGTTCTTGTAAGAATTAAGTCACTGTGGTGAGGACAGCACCAAGCCACGAGGAATCTGCCCACACGATCTAAATACCTTCCACCAGGCCCTACCTCCAACACTGGGGATTATATCTCAACACATTTGGAGGGCACATCCAAACTATGTCACACATACCATCTCATTGACCACAAACTGTAGGAATTTAAAAAATTCTACTTATTTCTGCCTTTTTTTTTTTTTTTTTCTTAGAGACAGCATCTGGTAGTGGCACAATCATGGCTCACTTCAGCCTCAACCTCCAACACGCAAGTGATCCTCCATCTTCAGCCTCCTAACTGTGACCACAGCTGTAAGCCACCAGTCCTGGCTAAGTTTTTTGAGTTTTAGTAGAGACAAGGTCTTGCTATATCTCCTAGGCTAGTCTTGAACTCCTGAGCTCAAGGGTCCTCCTGCCTCAGTCTCCTAAAGTGCTGGGTAACAGATGTGACCCACTGCGCCCAGCTCTTCCTTCATTTTAAAAGGTGAAATTGGTGAAGTAAGTTGCTATACTGGTTTTGGCAGGGCCAGGCTGGGCTGGGCTGAATGGCTCTGCAGGTCTGGCTGAGCTCCCTCATGTGTGCTGAGGTCAGCTGATATGGGCAGAATAATAAGAGAGTCATTGGGGAACAGTTATCCAATCTGCCTCTTCAAAAACTCACCCTGACTGTGAGATGTCAAAATCTCATTTGATTGCCTTTCCATAAAGTCATGATCCTCAGGGAGTCTGTAGGTTTTCTGGTAATAAGATATAGAATCGTCACCCATTTCTTCTGTCTCTTGGGGTATATCATGATTCCTTCCAGGGCTGACAGATGACTGATAAAACATAAAGGGTGTCTGGAGGAAGTTGTCTATGCTTTGTGAAGCCCCTTTTTAAATTTATTTACTTTTTCTTATTTTTTCATTTTTTAATAACTTGTTTTACCCACATGCCTTCTATCCTTCTGATTCCCCCTCTTAAAAAGTAGTATTAAATATTTAGGGTTTCTTTTTGTCATGTAGTACATCAACAGACCTCCTTAATAGACTCCCTTTTGATTTGAAAGAGAGAAGCAGTCAAGAACACAGCTTTATGACCATAAGGAAGTGTGTTGTGAGCATATGTGCTTTGGGGGAGGGTAGGGAAGAGGATAAGTGCTGATGGTTATGAGAATTTAAAGGTTTAGCAGAGCTGTGATTTGAGGTGGTCAGGAAAATTTTCTCCATAGGTCTCTTAGGTCTAAGCCAGGGAATGTTTGTAGAAATATCAGATTTTTCTTTTTATTTGGGAAGAGGTTGTCTCCTTTCAATCTCCTTTTTAGCTTCTGTTCATTTGCCTTTTAACTGTTGAAATTTCTTAGATATTGTCTCTTTTTGTTCTGCAGATTTACTCTCTCTGTCAGATTTACTATCCATTCCCATAAATTCAGGTGTGATCTGAATACTGACGAATCCTTGTGCTGATCTCTGCTCATCTCAGGCCCTTACAGCTCGTTGACCTAGCTTGATTCACTTAGATGATGAAAAGGCAGTTCAAAAGAAAAACCCCACAGCATTTAGCATTTTCTATCTTTGCTCCTAAAGCTATTTCTTTGCCTTTGTTCTCTATCTCAGTGAATGCTACCATACCTGAGACAAAAAATGGGAGGGAGAGGGTAATCACCTTTGAGTCCTAGCCTCTCCTAATCCCATATTAGATCTATCCTACTTATTTCTGCCCATTATACAAATTTAAAAATTTGGGTCCAGGCGCAGTGGCTCACGCCTGTAATCCTAGGAGTTTGGGAGGCCAAGGCGGGCAGATCACCTGAGGTCCGTAGTTCAGGACCAGCCTGACCAACATAGAGAAACCCCATCTCTACTAAAAATACAAAATTAGCAGGGTGTGGTGGCGCATGCCTGTAATCCCAGTTACTTAGGAGGCTGAGGCAGGAAAATTGCTTGAACCCGGGAGATGGAGGTTGCTGTGAGCCGGGATGGTGCCATTGCACTCCAGCCTGGGCAACAAGAGTGAAACTCCATCTCAAAAAAAAATTTTTTTTTGGAAAAAAACTTTTATTTCTTTTTACAATTTTTTAAAATTAAAAAGATATTTTTTGAGACAGAACCTTCTGTCACCCAGGCTGGAGTGCAGTGGCACAATCACTGCTCCCTGCAGTCTCAACCTCCTGGGCTCAAGCTGTCCTCCCACCTTAGCCCCTGGAGTAGCTGGAACTTCAGGTGCATGCCATCAAACCTGGCTAATTTTTAAAAATTTTTTTGTAGAGATGGGCTCTCACTATTGTTGTCCAGGCTGAATTTTATTCTTAAATATAAGCTCCTTCTCTCTACTCCCATTTCCATTTTTCTAATTCTCTTCTTATCTTTCTTATGAATTGAAGCAAGACATCTAATCTTTCATCTATTTTTTTTCTAAATTACTTATTTTTTAGTCAGCATGATTGTACTAAAACACTTATCTGATCATTGTTCCTTTCCTGCTTAAAACCACTAATGGCTTTTCATTGCCCTTAGGTTCTAAATTCCTTTACTTGAATGACAAGATTCTCTATATCTGGCCCTTGAATACCTTCCCACGCTTATCTTTTGGTGCCCCTGCCTTGCTCTCTATGCTATTATCCTATTAAATTGTTTTAGTTCCTTTTACATGCCATGCTTCCTCATTCCTCTGTCTTGGACCTCTTTCTTATTCATCCGATTCTTCATCTGACTAACTTCCATATTATTCATACTCCTTCAGGTATTGCTTACATAAACTTTCTCTCCTGAAGACTTTTCCTCCTGCCACTAACACATCTGACTGAGATGCCTCTCCTACGTGTTCTCACAGCACCTATCAATTTACTTACCGTGATGAATTGCAATTGCCTAGTGTCTTGTCAGTATTCTGACTAGACTGTTAGTTATCGTGTTTATTTTTGTATGTTGGCCCATAGAGGATACTCAGCCATTGCTAAGGGAATGGATGGATGATGGTGTTACAAACTCAGGTTCAGTTGCTCACTGCTTGCAGAGTCCAGTTAACAAGAGGGATGTCTGGTATAAAGAAAATGCCTTTTTATTCCAAAGCTAGCTTAGGGGAAGAAGTACAGGCTTCCTGCCTTGAGGGTACTGCTTTGCCTTTGGTGCAGAAAGTAGGTGCTTTTAAAGAGGACCTATCATGAATGGCACACAGGGGAAGTAGCAAACAGGTGGGGACTCCATGTATCAGCTTAGTGCCTTATCTACTGAGCAGTTGAGTTGGTGTCTTCATGGGCAGAAATAGGTTGTAAAGGTGCCTGAAAACTCTCTAGGTGAGAGAAAGAGTTTTGCAGTAGGACCTTGGATTGTAAATCGACTATTATCTCTCAAAGCAACCTACTGGTGGGTGAGAGTTCTGTTCTGGAGCTTCTAAGCACATAGATCAACTTGCCCTGCAGGGCGTGTCTGGTGAAGGGAAGGTAAAATGTTATCCTTACCCTTACATTTCTAAAAGGCTAAGTGGAAACTGGGGGATAGGGAGAAATGGAGTGAAGAGAAAAGAAGAGAAATAATAATTTAAAAAATACTAACTGTTTCTCTTTTTCTTAGAAAAATGAGGATCCTTGATTATAGTAGTACGAATGAATGATTACTTTTCCAGGGAGTCTGCTATCTGTATCAGTGTTACTTGGTTCAGAGGTTCATATGTTCATGATTTCTATAAATAAATTCTGTTTGTAACTTTATAAGGTTTCCATATTAGCATTGAATTTTGCATTGTTTACAAATTAATTTTCTATTTTTTCTTTTTTTTGAGATGAAGTCTCGCTCTGTGGCCCAGGCTGGAGTGCAATGGCACCACCTTGGCTCACTGCAAGCTCCGCCTCCCAGTTCAAGCGATTCTCTTGCCTCAGCCTCCTGAGTAGCTGGGACTACAGGCACCTGCCACCACATCTGGCTAATTTTTTGTATTTTTAGTAGAGATGGGGTTTCACTGTGTTGGCCAGGATGGTCTCAATCTCCTGACCTTGCCTCAGCCTCCCAAAGTGCAGGGATTACAGGCATGAGCCACTGCACCTGGCCCTATTTTTTCTGTTAGTATTTTCCCATTTGTAACTTAAAACAGAACTTATTATTTTTTAAGTATGGTTCTTACCTGTTGTAAATGGAACACTTTGTTTGTAAAACTACTTAACAGTGGTTCAAATCAAGGGGAAAATTGACAAGGCAGTGATATATAGGATATTCATTTAAGCATTTTAATATGTGGATAATCTCACATTTCCTCTAGTAAAAATATTTAAAAATACCCTGCAGGATTAAAAAAATCAGATGACATTATTATTTATTCTCATTTTACTATTTTTTATAATATATGTTTGAATGAAGCTATATGTTTATTAATTTAATAATTAATAAAATCTAATATAAAAGTAGCTTACTTCTGAGACTTTTAAAGGATTTCCGCTTTCAACCATTATATAATAGGTTAGTTATCTCTTTGTAGTTTTTGTCAGGCAAATGGACCGAGGCCTAACACAGTACAGATTTTAGAGGACAGAACATTCTCTAATGGTTTCAAACCTTTCATAATTATAGCAAGCAACTTTCTTCATACTTTTACTACCCTTAAGCTCTGGGTTTCTGTTCTTACATAACCACTATTGCCGTATTTGGATTCAACTGCTGAAATCCATTAGAGCAATTATGAAATATGCAAAATTATCAGTTTAGACAACGTGCTGAGATTCAGGAAGAGGAAAACAAATAGGAAAACCTTAAGAGTAGTCAGTCGGTAAGGGCTCCAAAAGAAAAACACAGTCTTCATTTCTGCTTTTAGGTTTTTATGTGGGGCCTATGTACTTACCTCTCCTCCTCTGCCTCACCTTCTTACAGTCCATCAAAATAAAAATGTAAAAAAAAAAAAAAAAAAGAAAAAGAAAACTGCTATAGCACTACTGGAAAAGAGAGAGAAGGGTACCTGTCTACCATTGACATATAAGAAATGTAGAAGTTCTGGAGCATGTGAAACACAGGGAACCACATGAAGCCAAACTAATCAGACTTGAATAGCAGGTAATATGGAGCCTCTTGAGAAGCAAGTTAGTGGGTCATTTCCTCAACTGACCCTGGAAGAGTTTTCATTTTGGAGCAACAGGTTTAAGCAAGCATGCACTGAGGGCGAGAGGTGAGGGTTAAATTATATTATTTTAGAAACTTTACTAGTGACTCATATCATATGTTTCCTTAGGCATTACTTTATATGGATAGTGTACTAAATAGGAGAAAATTAAAAATCAAAGGCTATTTAGAAATTATTAAAAATGAGATAAAATCATATATGAAAATCTATGGGATGTGTTCAAAAACATACATAGAAAATAATCCAAGTCTTAAATTAATTTTGTAATATAGCAGAAAAATTGAAAATAAATTAGCTAATCCACACTTATCACTTAATGGTTTTGAGTAGTGCTGTATTAAGAAGAATTACAAAGATGGGTCTGTGTTGACTAGTGAGTGCAGCTGTTAAAAAGTAGAGACACCACGGTTCAATACATTTTGTTAGATGCACTGTGTAAAGCATTAAGAACCAGATGATTCTTTTATTATTTTTAAATTATTTAAAAATTTTCCTTTAAATTCTGGGATACATGTGCAGAACGTGCAGGTTTGTTACATAGGTGTATATGTGCCATGGTGGTTTGCTGCACCTACCAACCCATCATCTAGGTTTTAAGCCCTGCATGCATTAGGTGTTTGTCCTAATGCTATACCTTCCCTTGCCCCCAACCCTCTGACAGGCTCTGGTGTGTGTTGTTCCCCTCCCTGTGTCTGTATGTTCTCACTGTTCAGCTCCCACTTATGAGTGACAACATGTGGTGTTTGGCTTTCTCTTCCTGTGTTAGTTTGCTGAGAATGATGGCTTCCAGCTTCATTGATGTCCCTGCAAAGGACATGAAGTCATCGTTTTTTATGGCTGCATAATATTCCATGGTGTATATGTGCCACATTTTCTTTATCCAGTCTATCATTGATAGACATTTGGGTTGGTTCCAAGTCTTTGCTATTGTAAATAGTGCTATAATAAACATATGTGTGCATGTGTTTTCAGAGTAGAATAATTTATAATCCTTTGAGTATATACTCAGTAATGGGATTGCTGAGTCAAATGGATTTCTAAGAACCAGATAATTGTTATATTGCTCCAAAGCACAGAGTGAGAGGAAATTTCCCCAATTATGCAAGCATAATTCTGGTACCCAAACTGAGAAAGAAAGCATTCAAAAGAAAACTAAAGATCTGGGCATGGTGGCCTATGCCTGTAATCTCAGCACTTTGGGAGGCCTAGGCAGGAGGATCACTTGAGGTCAGGAGTTCAAAACCAGCCTAGCCAATATGGTGAAACCTTGTCTCTACCAAAAATACAGAAATTAAATTGGCATGGCAGCGTGTGCCTATAGTCCTAGCTACTTGGGAAACTGAGCTCGGAGAATTGCTTGAACCCAGGAGGTAGAGGTTGCAGCCTGGGTGACAGAGTGACAACCTGTTTCGAAAAAGAAGAAAGAAAGAAAGAAAACTAAAGATAAATTTGTAGATACCTTAATAAAATATTTTCAAATATGTTTCACCAGTAAACATTGTAAAATAAGCAGAAACATTGTTTACAGTGAAATATAAAATTCTTCACACCTACAAGTGATAAAAGAAGCTTTCAATATCATAAATTAAAGAAATTATATCACAATTCACAGATAAGGTGGTGAATACCAACCATTCAGCATGAACAGCACGGATGATAGTGACGTGGCGGAATTCACTTTTGTGACTGTTTAGTGACGGGTTATCACGTGGGATGTGAGGAGTCAGTAGCGTCTAGACTGAAAGTCTAAGAATACGTGAAAGCTGAAGTAGAATGCCCAATACCTGATTTTTAATATGAAACTGTCTTTTGCCTCGTATGTTGTGAGTTGGTTATCTGTATGCCTGTCTTATTTTTCTTTGCTTTCATGAGATAAGAACTATAATGATTCACCTTTGTTTCCATCTAGGGCAGTCTTTTCCATAGAGCGGGCGCTAAGAAAACAATTCACTGAATTTAATTAAAGAGGCTTTCGCATAGTAGGAAGTTCACTGGTCTTGGAGACAGGGATTTGGTTTCAAGGCCAGGCTTTTGTCAGGATACTTCCTTCCCAGCTCAGCTAGGACTTACGCCCTGGGGAGCCTCATTGCCACCACTCTAGCCTGCACTCAGAATGAGCTCATTCTCTGTGCTTTCCCACAAACGTGTTCTTCCCTTTCTGGGGCACTTAGCACTCTCCTGTGTCTCCTCTGTGAGACAGTGGGTGTGCTGAGTTCAAACTCTGTCCTCTGAATCCTGTATTTGCAGAGATTAGTACCCCATATAGTGCTAAAAAATTTTATTATATGAATGAATGGTTTAACTTCTCTGTGCTTAAGTTTTTTCCATCTAAAAATGAGAATGTTAATAATACATAATATTGGGGGTTCCAAGAACCTCCCTTAGAAAAAAGGCTACCTTTCTTTCATAAGAGCAGCGATTGTTTGTTATTGAACACTTATTAGATGTTCACTGACCAGACACTTCATGTATGCTATCATTATGTCCTATCCTTGTGCCACAATGTAATAGGTGCTGTTGTTCACATTTTATAGGTACTTAGAGAGGTGAAGACACTGCCCCAAATCAATAGCAAGCAAGGCAGTGGCAGAGCTGGGATTCTAATTCCAAGTCTATAATTTTTCTACTGTAGAACTTAGTCCCCATGTGTATTTAATGTGTCCATAGGAAGCTCCGCTTGGGTTGTCATCATCAGGTCTCCTCATGGCTATCCAGGTTGTGTCATTATGGTCTCTAAAAGTTTGACCTTGAAAGTTAAGCTACTAAGATCCAGTCTCTAATGCATCTAATGCATTACTTGGTACTTGGTAAGAGTCTGCTTAATACATAATTGTTGAATAAAATAATGAATTAGTGAATGAAAAGCTTGTAGATGATACTGGTAATTTATGGAATAAACCAAGAGACTCTTCATATATGTGTGACTGAAGTTTTTAAACACTCACAACTAGCCTGGGCAACATAAAGAAACCCTGTCTCTCCAAAAATATAAAAATTAGCCAGGCGTTGGTGGCATGTGCCTATAGTCCCAGCTACTCAGGGGGCTGAGGTGGGAGGATCACTTGAGCCTACAAGGTCGAGGCTGCAGTGAGCTGTGATAGTGCCGTAGTGCTCCAGCCTGGGTGACAGAGTGAGACAGACAAACAGACAGACAAACAGACACAACTGTATATGACATATCAATATTCCTAAGAAGGTAAAACTGGAATTGGCTCATTTAGTAGTGAAAAATGTGAAATAAGGGATTGATTAGCTAACTAGGGATCTTATTAAAAATGAACATTTCTACATTCCATTTCCAGGGTTTGTTATATTTAAACTCTCCTTTTGTAAATGTGATATACGAAGCTATGTGAATTGTAAATTGCTAATAATCACTTAATATATTATTAAGGAATTGTTTTCTTTTATGTGAAGGTTGGAGAAAGTATCCTTTGGAATTTATTGAAACTCAAGGACAAGAATAGTTTTGAGACTCAGGAAGATCTAAAAAGAAAAGGGCTTTTTTATGCAGGGAAAAGAATGTTGTTCTTTTTTTCCTTTTTTTCAGTGTCTCCTTAGAAACAAATCTGGTTGACTAAGATTTAACAAACAAATTCAACTAGGGTATTGGCTATTTCAGGATAGCGACATCCTTAGATTCCCTCAGGTGAGAGTGGCATATTGTCACGATGCACACGAAGTCTGTAAGGACAGCCAGGAAATTCTGAGCAAGCCGGCGGCGTTCAGATGAGCACAGCTCTGGGGAGCCCGGGCTGATTCTAGTTGCCGTCGTGCTCATGACTCAGCAGCTCTTTGCTTCCCTTGGTTGTTTTCTTCCTGTTCCATCATCAGTTCGTTACTCTTTTCTTCTCTCTTTGTTTCTGCCAGTGGCTTCTGCTTATTGCCATTTATCTTTAAAAATACAAATAAGAAAACATTAGAGGCTTACTGTATGCCAGACTAAATCTAATTTTCACTCTCATAAGGTATAGGGTGTCTTTCTCATCTGACCAGTCATTACCTTAGTTCCCACATTGAGTGCATAGGGACCCCCAAAGCCATCGCAATAGGAAAATATTGACAAATGAACAGAAAACTGTTTCCTACCCAAAAGCCCCTCCTCATTTATTATTAGTTTTGGTGATTAACAACCACTCATATACAATGTAAAGGTAATGCAAAGCATAATAGTAAAATTTGCAAAAGATGTAGAATTTAATGAAGTTGTCAACCGAAAAGCCATTGATAAATGAGAAGTGTGGCCAGTTAACAATTGGAGAAGATAAAACTGACATGGATTACAACATAATAAACATGCCCAAAAAAGAAAGATTTGAGTAGTAAAGTCCTGGAATAATTTTAGAAGTCATGGACTATGTTTTTAAAAATGCAAAATGCAAAGTAACCATATTATCCTAGCATTTTGTTTTGCCCTCCTAACGTCATGACTTTGCTCTTTGTTCATTCTAATACTTCGTATATACTGAGAGCTGTAACTTACATATTAGTAATATTTTAAAATGCTTATTGTTAAATTCTATTTTTAAGATAAAGTAATAATCATACTTTTGAACATTTGCTCAGAATTTTTGGACTATGTTTTAATGGATTTATTGTAGGTGCTAAACAATGATTAATTGCCCTTTTTAAATGACCTCCTATGCTATTATTTTTCTAATTTTACAGGTGAGGAAAATGAAGTCCAGAGAGGTTCACTTACTTGCTTTAAGGTTTTTTGTTGGTCACTGAGAGAACTGGGGTTAGAACATAGGCACTAAGATTTCACATACCACATTCTTAAATGCTAAGTTAAACTGTCCTTATGCCCTATCAATTCCCTTTTTTTGTCTCAAATTCAGATTTTCAGGGAAGATCCTTCTAGGCTGGCTTATCACCATCTGGCTTAGATTACCCCTGTTGGACAGAGCTCTGGTCCCAGAACATTCCTATGCTGCTATCAGTCCCCAAAGAGCTCTTCTGGAGTTAATGCACAAATCTCTGGTTCAATCAGTTGCCACTGATTTAATGGTAAGATTATATAATGCATGGTTACTTACTCTCAAGGGATTGTCTTTAATCCTTTCGAAAAATATTTGGTTGTGGCACTCATTTTATGTCTTCTCAAAAAAGGAACAAATAATACACAGGCTCCTGGTACAACCTGTATAATTTCTACATTTTTTGAATATGCTATCTAAATAGAAGATTTGGTCATAGCTTTACCTTCTTTGTTGGTGATAGAGAACTAGGATGAGAATGGAGGCTTCACAGGAATTAGTATAAACTGAAGACTTCATTATTCTACCCACTGTTCCACACAGTCTGTCTCTCACTCTCAGACTATGTTAATTGTGCCACTTGAAAACTGGTTTTGCTATTTTGATGCTCTGAAATACATTTTAGACATATTTGGTATGTTCAGTATTATATAATTGAGTGTAGGCATTAACATAGGCCAGACTTTTATCTTTTTTGGGTCCCCAAGCTTTTCGTGAAATAAGAATTAGGCTCTTGAAACATAATGGCAGTGATTTTTGAGTGACATATGTTCATGGGGTTAGAGAAACACGAATAGCTACTTGGAGCCCTTTCAAACTGAAAGTCATCTAAGACTTGTAAATAATAGAGGCTGTAACAAATTATTAAAAGGCCCAAATAACCTCTTTAGATTTCACTTTAAAGTCCTGCTAATAACACCTTACTTTTATATAGGATATGACAACTTGATAATTTTCTTACATTCATTGTCTCATTCACAAAACTATATGATGTAGAAAAGGGAAACAGCATTAAAGGTGAATATACTGAGGTTGCTCTGATGTCTAGCAGTGACAGTCCAACACTAGATCATTCCTTCGACTCCTGGTTCAGTGCTTTTTCCACTCCCTGTAAATAAAGAAAGAGAGTAAGACAAGAATGAAGAAAAGAAGAATGATGTCTAATAATTGTTAAATACCAACCATGTGCTTAATACGCTATTTAAGAAAGTTAATTTTCAATTATTTTGCATATTATAGCTGCAGAATTCATGCTCTAAATTCTTTTCTCTGTATCAGCAAGATCAATATGATATCTATTAGTGAAGAAATTGTAGAATATTAAACAATGTGGATACATTAGGAAAATCAGTTGGGAAATTAAATAGAATAGTTATGTGTTTAGCATCAGATAATTAGTAAAATAATGAACAAAAGGGGTTTATCCAGACTAATTAGTTATATCTTTTACTCAGGGTAGCTGTTAGAATTTTATCTGATTTTCTCATCTTGTTTCAGCAATATGTTTTATCTTAATTTTTTCCTATTTAAAATTGATGTATTAACTATGGTAAATCACATAGGTCAGAACAATTTTTATACTGCTCTTACTGGGAAAAATAACACTTTATCCTAAGCATTTAATAGTAATAATTAAAAGAAGTTAAAAACAAAACAAAATAACACCAGATGGAGAAGACTCACCCCTGGGGTTACTGGTAGCGTATCATACACTAATTGCATCTTATGCTCAAAATCATTGGCATGCAGTGTTTTACATTTAATCAGAGTTCAGGCTCAAGGATTTTTTTTTTTTGTGGGGTGCTACAGAGAGAAAAATAATAAAAAAAACTGTGAGTCTCTGCATTTCTGACTCATTTTCTTGATTCTTCTTTACATGCATGTATTCAGTAAGAGTGGTTTCTACAGAAAGATTGATTATTGATAATAATTATAACTTGTAGTTTTGATATAGGCAATTATTTGAGGTGGAAAAGTCCTGAAATTTGGACTAATTTTGTCCTATTACCCATTTCATGATGAAACCGAATTTACTGACTGAAAAATTCAGCTTACGAACCCCTTTTAGCAAGCTCATAAAATAAATCAAGTCTTTTTTTAGACACATGTCCTTGCTTTGATTGCTTATCAGAATGGCATTTTTGTGACTCTTGGCACATTAAACTTTCTGATTTTCCTGATGGTCATTTGAGGACAAATTAAGAAAAGATAAGGGATTAAAAAAAAAGTCTCTGAAGGCAGTTGTATTTAATTATAAGACATAAAGAAAGGCTGTGGAAATATTATGTCTGAATTTAAAACAGAAATTCTGCAAAATACATGGGGATTAAATAATCTGCTCCTGAATTATCATTGGGTCAAATATGCAATCAAGATGGAAATTAAAAAATTACTCAACCTGAACGACAATAATGACACAATATATTAAAACCTCTGGGATACAGCAAAGGCAGTGCTAAGAGGAAAGTTCATAGCCCTAAAGACTTACATCAAAAAGACTGAAAGAGTACAAACTGACATTCTAAGGTTACACCTCAAGGAACTAGGGAAACAAGAACAAACCAAAGCCACACTCAGCAGAAGAAAGGAAATAACCAAGATCAGAGCAGAACTAAATGAAACTGAAACAACAACAATAAAGTATAAACGATAAATGAAACAAAAAGCTGGTTCTTTGAAAAGATAAAGTAGACCCTTAGCATTATTAACCAGGAAAAGAAGAGAGAAAATCCAAATAACCTCATTAAGGAATGAAGCGAGATATTACAACTGACACCACTGAAAAACAAAAGATCATTCAAAGCTACTATGAATATGTTTACATGCATCAACTAGTAAACCTAGAAGAGATAGATAAATTCCTGGAAAAATACAACCCTCCTAGCTTAAATCAGTAAGAAATAGATACCCTGAACAGACCAATAACAAGCAGTGAGATTGAAATGGTAATTTAAAAATTACCAACAAAAAAAAGTCCAGGATCAGATGGATTCACAGCTGAATTCTACCAGACATTCAAAGAAGAATTGGTATCAATTATTTTGACACTATTCCACAAGACAGAGAAAGAAGAAACCTTCCCTAATTCATTCTATGAAGTCAGCATCACCATAATACCCAAATGAGGGAAAGACATAACCAAAAAAGAAAACTACAGACCAATATCCTTGATGAACATAGATGCTAAAATTGTTAACAAAATACTAGCTAACTGAATCCAACAACATATCAAAAAGATAATCCACCATGATCAAGTGGGTTTCATACCAGGGATGCAGGATGGTTTAACATACACTAGTCAATTAATGTGATACACAATTAAAAACAAAAATCCCATGACCATCTCAATAGATGCAAAAATGCATTCAACAAAATCCAGCATCCCTTTATGATAAAAAACCTCAGCAAAACCAGTATACAGGGACATAATGAAATAAAAGCCATCTATGACAAACCCACAGCCAACATAATACTGAATGGGGAAAAGTTGAAAGATTCCCTCTGAGAACTGGAACAAGACAAGGATGCCCACTCTCACCACCTCTCTTCAATGTAGTACTGGAAGTCCTAGCCAGAGCAATCAGACAAGAGAAAGAAATAAAGGCATCTAAATCAGTAAAGAGGAAGTCAAACTGCTTCTGTTTGCTGATAATATGACTGTGTACCTAGGAAACCCTAAAGAGTTCTCCAAAAGCTCCTAGAACTGATAAAAAAAATGCAGCAAAGTTTCCAGATACAAAATTAATGTACGTGAATCAACTCTTCTCTACACCAACAGCAACCAAGGAGAGAATCAAATCAAGAGCTCAACCCCTTTACAATAGCTGCAAAAAAACAAAAAAAATAAAAAACAAAAAACAAAACAATACTTAGGAATATACCTAACTAAGGAAGCAAAAGACTTCTACAAGGAAAACTACAAAACACTGCTGAAAGAAATTACAGATGACACAAACAAATGAAAATACATCCCATGCTCATGGATGGGTAGAAGCAATATTGTGAAAATGACCATAGTGCCAAAACAATCTACAAATTCAGTTTGATGCAATGCTCAACAAAATACCACCATCATTCTTCACAAAATTAGAAAAAACAATTCTAAAATTCCTATGGAACCAAAAAAGAGCCCACATAGCCAAAGCAAGACTAAGCAAAAGAACAAATCTGTAGGTATTACACAATTAGATTTCAAACTATACTCTAAAGCCATAATCACCAAAACAGCATGGTACTGGTATAAAAATAGGCACATAGACCAATGGAATGGAATAGGGAACCTAGAAATAAACCCAAATACTTAAGCCAACTGATCTTCGACAAAGCAAACAAAAACATAAAATGGAGAAAGGGCACCCTATTCAAAAAATGATGCTGAGATAATTGGCTAGCCACATGTAGGAGAATGAAACTGGATCCTCATCTCTCATCTTATACAGATCTCAACTTAAGATGAATTAAGGACTTAAATCTAAGACCTAAAACTATAAAAATTCTAGAAGATAACATTGGAAAAAGCCTTCTAGCCATTGGCTTAGGCAAGGATTTCATGACCAAGAACTCAAAAGCAAATACAATAAAAATGAAGATAAATCATTTGGACTTAATTAAACTAAAGAGCTTTTGCACGGCATAAGGAATAGTCAGCAGAGTAAACAGACAACCCAGAGAGTGGGAGAAAATCTGTCCAATCTATACATCCAACAGAGGACTAATATCCAGAATACACAACGAACTCAAACAAATCATTGTTTTTTTTTTTAAGGAAAGAAGAAAAACAATCCCATCAAAAAGTGAGCTAAAGGACATGAATAGACAGCTCTCAAAAGAAGATATACAAATGACCAACAAACACATGAAAAAATACTCAACATCACTAATGATCAGGGAAATGCAAATCAAAACCATGATGTGATCCCACCTAATGCCTGCAAGAATGGCCATAATAAAAAAATCAAAAAACAGTAGATGTTGGTGTGGATGCAATGATCGGGGAATGCTTCTACTCTGCTGGTGGGAATGTAAACTAGTACAACCACGATGAAAAACACAGTGGAGATTCCTTAAAGAACTAAAACGAGAACTACCATTTGATCCAGCAATACCACTACTGGGTATTTACCCAGAGGAAAAGAAGTTATTGTATGAAAAAGACACTTGCACATGCATGTTTATAGCAGTACAATTCACAGCTGCAAAATCATGGAACCAACCCAAAGTCCATCAATCAATGAATGGATAAGTAAACTG